TGGATATTGAATATTGAAAATGTTGATGGATATTGAATATGTTGAATCTTTGAATTTGTAACTTAGGCATCACTTATTTTGGTGTTGAATATTGAATTAGTTCATTTTTTAGTTGTATCATTTTGGTACCGAAATGGTACCGATACCGTACCGATACCGATTTGGCACGGTACGGTACGGTACCAATTTTGGCAAACCATAATACCGTACCGTACCATACCGATTCAAATTTCCGGTATCGGTAGCGGTACGGGCTCAATACCGTACCGTACCGTACCGTGCCCACCCCTAGTGGAAACTCTGTACATCAGGGACTACCTGTGCAGACCTACGCCCAGGGACCTGCAACAGCTTCTACAAAAAGCTGAGTCTCGTGGATTTCCTGGAATGATTGGTAGCATTGACTGCATGCACTAGTAATGGAAAAATTGTCCAACTGCTTGGCAAGGGGATTATAGCAATCGAAAATGGCAGAAAAGCATCATTCTAGAAGCAGTTGCTGGTTTTGATACATGGGTTTGGTGCGCCTTATTTGGAGTTGCCAGCTCTCAAAACGATTTGAATGTCCTGGGTCAATCCCCGATGTTCAATGATGTTCTGAGAGGTGAACGCCCAAATATCACATATTAAATCAATAATACCGTCTACCAGAACGGGTATTATCTAGCTGATGGTATCTACCCGAGGTGGAGAGGTGCTTTGGTATCCTTCAAGCCCCGTGGGCTATTATCAAGGGTGCGGCGCGTCTATTTGACGAGGAGGTTCTTAGAAGTATAATGATAACTTGTATCATCCTCTACAACATGATTGTGGAAGATGAGTATGATTACGATGCTGATGAAGTGCATGAACTAGATCCCGTGAACACGACCTTAACACAAATTTATGAAAAACCTATGGGGCCAAATGGAGAGCCAGTGTAGCATGATCCGTTGGTTAGAGATGGTAGTTTCATGCCTCGTATGATTTAGCGCTACACGGAGATGCAATCGTCGTATATTCATGAATGCCGTCAAGTTAACTTGATGGAGTATTTGTGGGCGGTGAAAGGCAATGAAGGTGAATGAAGTGAAGTGAAGATGTTTTTTTTTTTAAAAAAAAATGTATTATGTTTATGTTGTATTTTTAGTTATGTTTTGTTTGTTTTTTTATGCTTTAGTTGTTGTTTGTTTATTTTTTATGCTTTGGTTGTGGTTTGCTTTTTATGT